CCCCGCCGTCGCATCTTTCACCGGCGAATCCGAATCCGAATCCAGAAGAGTTGATGCTTCCCCTCACTCACACTCGATTTATTAGAGAAGCATGCACAATATAAATCTTAATTAACATTTTAACATTACACATCAAAATGAATCAACCCTCACACTTTGCCATGCCCCACATTATCTCTAATTTATAAAAATCTTTATTCATTTTCCACTTTTTATTTTTTTATTTATTTATTTTGGTGAGTTCTTTTATAATTTTAATTCTTAGCATTAATGTGTTATACTAAATTAAAGGATTTGGGACATCTGATGCTTGAGGACAGATAATATGAGAGGGAGATTTTTATACAAAAGTCAGAGGATTAATTACTTAAATTTAACTATTATAAATAAATTTATTACATATTATCATTATCATTATTCACATAATTAATATTATGAAATCTTATTATTATTATTATTACTAGAAGGGTCGATGTATTTCATGTTTATTATAATTATATACAAATAAATATTAAAAATTATAGAAGATATAATTTTTTTTTTTTACATTCAAGAGTATGAAGGTTCACTAAAAAGTAGAGACAAAAAAATAGTTACTAAAATGTATCCCCTTTATAATATGTATAGATATAAAAATTTAAAAAATTTAATACGTTTTTGTTTTTTCAACTTTTTGAAAATTTAATTTTTTTTTAAAAAGAATTATCAAGTTGCATTATTGCATTAATTTTTTTTCATATAAATTAGTGCTTAAGTGATAATTTGTGTTATATATTATGATTGATTCAACTATTAATGTCTGCATGACTGCTTAATAAATGTTTATGTAATTTTTCTATTTATTCATGATCATAGAGATAAGGAATTATTTTAATAACATCTTTTATTTAAAAAAAAAATGTTTCATAAACAAATAAAAAATTATATATATTATATGATTTGAGAGTTATTAGATAATTACGTGAGAATTAATAGTTATCTTAGTCATGATTTATGAACATACATCATTATTTAATATAAGAGACTTGATCATAAAGATTAATTTATATAACAATAAAATTAATAAAAAAAACTAAAAATTAATTAAAAAAACTAAATTAAATTCTTAAAAAATTAAGAGACTAAAAACTTATTTAATAGATTAAATTATTTTGCATAAGTTACGCATTAAAATTATGCTGTTAATGATTTTATATGAATTGCTTCTTTCGATTAAATTATCATCGTACATTTGTAAATATGATTTATATTATAAAATTATTTTATGATATTAATATATTATTAATTTTTAAATATTTTTAATTTAATAATATATTTTATGATAAAATTATGTCATAAAAATAATCAAATAATATAATTGTTTATATGATCTTTTTTTTCCAACTATTAATGAGAATTAAAGTGAAAGAAATTATAACTATTTATGCATGATTCATAATTATGAGAGGACATGATTTAATCTAACTTAGTAATTTGGTTTGATTTGAGGTTAATTTAGACAAGTTTAGATCTTAAAATTTAACTCGATACATTTTTAGAGTAAGTTCGTATTACATTTTGTGTCATTCATCCTAGTTTGACATGTAATATTTTCTTATAAAGTATAATTTTTTTTAATTATTATGCACTAATATTAAAAATTTAGAGATATTTTTTATAATATAATATTATGTATAATTCAATTTTTTATATTATAAGTTATACCTTAATTTAATTTTTGTACTCTTTTATTTTATAATATAACTATATATAATGTTAAAATTAATATAGTATAGCAAAATTGAATCAACCCAACTTTATCCATATATTTTCAGGTCTTAGTTGGATTGAGTGACAAATCCAAAAAATTTTAAATGGTAAAAGTAATACTGATACATAAATTTATATTATTAAATATATAACTTCACATTTTTTTTTTGAAATAGAAATATATATTACAATTACTCTCTATGAGATTTTATATTTTAAAAATCTTGAATAATTTCCTCATTTATAACACTTTCAAAAATATATTCTTTTTATTTATTTATTTTTATTTTAATTTTATATATAAATAACTAAACAATCATATAATTATTTATCTCCTGTATTAATATTTTGACTTTTCATTTTAAAAAATAGTATAATATAGACTTAGATCAATCATCATTCTTATATTTACTTTACTTTTTTTATGAGTATATATATATATATATTACTAACTTTATTTAATTATAATTAATATTATATATATGCTAGAGAGAGAAAAAAAGACATTTCGTTAATATTAAAAAAATTAAAACAAAAGTCCATAAAATAAAATGTCAATTTTATAATTGTTATAGATTATAATATTATAAAATTTATATAAAAAATATTTCAAAAGATTAATATGGACTTTGAACTTTTTTACAAAATAAAAACAGAAAACAATAGAAACATGAGATTTTAGCTTGTTAAGTGAGAAATTGTATATGAAAAAACTAATAAAAAAATTTATATACATGAATCCACCTCTGATCGGATCGGATTTAAACTTAGAAAAATAGCTGACAAAAACTTAAATTAGATTTGACTAAGTTAGGCCTATGGTGACCGCTGCTCGCAACACATCTCTGAAGATGCAAATGACCAAAGATAATTAAATAGGAATTTTAAGAACCTTAAGTTTAATTTTTTATTCAAGAGTCACGCCAGACCATGTCTTTGAGATGACATCTTTACGTCAAATGCAATGCAATCATATATTTGTGCATCCTCGCATTTGCTCTTTATCTCACACTCCTTCACCCAATCAGAAATTGTAACTTAAACCTTTTAATCTGTTTACGACCCAAAAACACAGAAACGACCACTACCTTGTAATTGAACATCATTCATTTTCCTTGTACAACGTTGCAGCTCCACAATGACTACTTAAAAAATGCACATTTGATGCAAAGTACATTACAATTTTGAGTAACAAGGATGCAATTGAGAGACAATACATTATCCCATTTGATGCATGTTGATAATAACAATAATAATAATAATATCAAGCCAAAAGCCAAAACTTTTTATGGCGTTTAGTAGTAATCAAATAGCCTCCATGTTTCTTATTCTTCTTCCTGACTGCAATGGTGATGCAAGGCGAGTTTTGTATACAATAGTCAACAACCCCAGGTCTTGTTTTCTTTCGTAGCCACCTCCTCACGATGCACCGCAACATGGATCGTTTTCTTTGTCCCACTACCAACAGTGACACCCTCTGTTGCTTTGCCTCTTCCACTATTGCAACACCCTTCTCCTCTCCTTCAACCATCACCACATTCACTTGCACCTGAAACTCATACCCATCAACTCATGTGCATCTTCAATTCACTACAAACACAATAACATTCCTCCACACTTACCCCGGGTCTCTTCGTTTCGCACATGCTTTTCATGTCAAGGAGAACTTGATAAGCCTTCACATTAAACTTCGCACCACATTCCGTACCTGCCAACACAAATTAACACAATTTTACTTCTTTTCCTTCTAGAGTTTGAAAAAGCTTATTTGGGTTACCCTTTTTTTTTAACTTCGCCAATCAAACTTAGTTAGCCTTTCTTGTGCGACAAGAATGTGGGATAATAGTAGTCGTTGTTCTGATGCAAAAAAATTGAAAAATAAAAAAAAGTATTATTTCTGACCTTCTCTAGTGGGGTTGGATACATGAAGAAGAACAAGAGTGTCCCGAGTCTGAACGGTGTGAGAGAGAGCCCATTCAAGAGCCCCCTTAGCCTCAAAGCTAGAATCAACAACCACCATTATCTTATTGGCAGGGTCGTGGTTTGTGTTGCTTGAAAACTCAGTTCTTTTTGCATATTTGATAGAAGCAGAGGAGGAAGGAGACTTGGATGCAGAAAAGGCTCGAACACGAGGCGTGGCGTGACCAAAGCACAACCTCATACGTGCCCTTCCCATGTCGGGTTAGTTCCAAATGACTTCATCAACTCTGTCCTTATATACACACACGCACATTAATGAAGGCCTTGACTTTGAACTTTGGTGATTCTCTCTTTCAAATGCCAATTAATGTTTTCTTTGTCCCTTTCTGTGTGATGTCTTGGTTGTGGGGCTCTTGTTCATGAACGTGCCAGCCATCTAGAGTTTGGATGATGGATGAGAGTTGACAATACTCGCATCAATTCTTTAATAGTCTCCACACGCCTGGCAGAATAATTCTCAAGACATAGTCCTCTAATGGAAAAATAAACACTCGACTTGTACGAACTAATCATTAAATTAAACTAAATGATCTTTGAATTTTAGGAGTAATGGAGATCACGTTCATTTCATCTGAACCACATCATTGTGTGAACTGTGAACTCTTTTTGGTCCAATATGGCTGTGGCGTAGCAGTTGGGCCTCACTGCCATCCTCTATTGGGCTTGCCTCCAAACCAACCTCATGTGAATCCTTTACGACCAGTGGCTCTCGAGTCTTCACTCAGTGGGCATAGACTATGGAGTTTTGTGGACCCAAATAAGAGGAGTTATGGAGTTCAACAAAATAAAAACGATGGAGAAATTAAGTTTTTATCATGTACTAACTTAAAATGTATATAACTTTATTTGAATGTATTATCCTCTCACCGAAAGACGAGAGTTAAACTAAAAACAAAAACAAAAAAATGTCTATTTGATTTCCTAGATAACAAGTATCTTTTTTTGTTACATAGATGGCAAATAATTTTGAAGCAAATTAAAAGGACATTATTTTAAGAAAAATGTCAACGGGGGCTTTTAATAACATTGGTTAAAAAATAAAAGATAGTATTTAAGAAAAGAAGATATTATTTTAGTGTATTAAAAATAAAAATTATGTAATGCTTATTTTTAAATAAATAAAATATTAAATAAATTATATTAAGTACTCTTTAATTAAGACACCATTTGGATAATAAAAATTATAAGTATTTATAAATATAAAAAAAAAAGTCTCCAACAAACAAAAAATAACTTATATATGCGTAAAAATTAGGATAAATCGCATTTTGATGACTCTATTTTAGTCAATTCGAGATTTTGTTTTCTCTATTTTAAAATAGAGATATCTAGTTCTTCTAGTGTTAAAAATACATAACTTTGATCTTATCATCAAATTGAAATCTATTGATTATTAAATTTTAATGTTTACTCATACTTAAATGATGTAATATTCATTAACATGGTATTTGTAAATAAAAAATATATGTAAATATAATTTATTAATAAAATAAATATTAATCACTCGTTAATATATATATACATATATATATATATATATATATATATATATAAAGATCTTTTAGATATTACTTTCTAACTAATATTTTAACTTGTACAATGCAAAAATTAAATATTTATTACATGTACTAAATTTTATAATAAATAAAATATATAAATTATATTTAACATTTATGATAAATAATTTATATTATAACATAATATTATTTTTATTTATCGATAATTTATTTTTAAATTATTAAAATTTAATTAACAAATAATTAGGATAAATAAAATCAAATTATATAAGAAATTAAAAGAGTTCTTAAAAATCTTTTCATCGAAGAAAAGTTCTTAAAAATACTCTATAAATTCATGTTTAATATATAAGAGTTAATTAAAATTTATAATAAAGCATATATATATTATTTTTAATATATAAATTATATTTAAAATTAGTATATGTAAAATATTTTTAAAATATAAATAATATTTTAGATTTATAATAAATAATTTGTATTTTGACAAAAATTATTTTTATTTACTGATAATTTATTTTAAAATATGTATATTTAATTTATAAATAATTATAATAAATAAAAATGGAATCAAATAAGAAGTAAAAAAATATCTCTACAAGTTTTCTGGTTGAATAATTATTTCTACAAATACTCTCACACAAAATAAAAACTCTTATTTAATACACATGGGTTGATTTTTTATGACAACATGTCATATTAATAAATATAACATCACTTAAGTTGTGATAAGTCACCGGATAATATTAAAATTTAACGATCAACAAACATCATATTGATAGTAGGGCTAAAATTTCATATTTTTAATAACAAAAGAATCAAATGTCTGTATTTTAAAATAGAGAAAACAAAATTATAAACTAACAAAAAAGATGTTTAAAATATTATAAATAACCACGATATTGTATTATTCACAAGTTATATAAAAAATGAAATTTTTTTATAAATTCTTGTGAGTTATTATTAATTGTGAATTTTGTTATGTTAAAAATGGACTAATATTATGATTTATCTAATAATACTTAAGTTACTAATAATGTATCAAATATAACAATGTGATTAAATATAATAGGCCTTAAACACCTAATTTCGATCTCAGTAAAAAACCATATAAGTCTAACTTCAAGGCCCATAATGAGAGATGCCTAGAATTATTTAAATAGTGTAATTAATTAGGTCTCATTTACTGTCACGTTAACAAACAACTACTCTCTAGATTAATTCTATAGAAAGCCCTACAAGTTGCAAGAGCTTTAACAATAATAAAGAATTCATAGAGACATACCTAATCACCTCTTCAACAATATTCTTATAAATTATATTATTTACAAGTGTTCTAAATTTATATAAAGTACAATAAGTTTGACATTTTTTTTACAAGGAAAAATCTTTATAAAAAAAAACAATTTATACAGAAATGGAAGAATAGATTGGTATCATTTATATGTAATACCTTTAATATGCTTAGCATAGCATTGAAATGCAGTCAGAGACGCACATGCAGACTACATTCCAGATGTTATTGTGCGTTTGGAAACAAGTCTTAGACACAGCATTTCTTAATTTTTCACATAAATTTCTAAAATCAATGCAGGAGCTAAACATAATTGTTTCTAAGAATTCATGTCATGTTATATTCAAAATGGATTTGAAACATGCTGATAGTCACCAACAACTACCTTTTGATTGCGTATAATCTTTGTACAGATCCTATTTAGACATGGTACATATTTGAATAAACTTGAGGTAATTTTAAGAAAGAAAAATAAAATATTTTTTTATAAATTAAAATTAATTTGTGTATAAAATTTTCTTCTGTTATTTTTAATTTATACATAAACTAATTTTAACTTATAAAAAAATATTTTAACTTTTTTATTTTTATTTTTTTTTACTAAAAATACTTATAAAGTTTATCCAAACATATACCATGTAAAAACAGAGTTCTACTCTTTTGTTGGACGAAGCATCCAAGGGGGAAGAATGGTGTTAGGTCGAGTTGATGTTGATCTTCCTTCACTACCTTTGGCTTCTGGGGAGCAGCCTCTGCATCAAATACAGGTGCATGGCTTAATTAGTATTATTATTATTATTAGTTGCAACTCCAAATCATAACTCAACTAATAAGGTGGATAAGTGGATTTTAAAATGATATAACGAGAGTAGTCATTAACCAATACTTAATATTTGGATGAAAGAAAGGTGTACGAAAAAAAGGCCCGAAAAGAATTTTTTTTAAGAAAAGATTGAACCTAATTTTTTACTAATATAAATATTGTTCAAAGCGGTGAAAACAGTGGTTTGATTTCCTTCATTTGACATATTATACTGGCAATTTTTAATTTGGCCTATACGTTATTAAGGCAAAGCCGTGAAAATATAATGAGGTGGTACATGCAGAAAGTAGCACATGATGGAAGGCAAAAAGGAATTCATGCATAGACTGATGAATGATGATACAGACACGTACGTACGCGTGATAACGAGGAACAGAGTTGGGAATATTTGGGTAATAGGAAAAGACACTAACCCAATATTGAGGGACTCCGGTGGTGGAGTTACTAGGACAGAGACAGAGGTCACATCCACGTTATTTTGCAGCACCCCTTCCTCTTTTTGGGACAGCCTTTTCTCTCTTTCCTTCTTCTGTTTTTCACTCAAACCATGTTGTCATGTACTGTACCTGTGTGTGATATTTGAAATCCAAATTGCATTGCATGAGCTGTTATCAAACAAAAACGTCATTACCTCCTTGGCGAGCAAGTTGTTACGTTCTCGGAGTGCCTTATCCTGCATCATACAACACTAGTACTTATGTACTCAAATCAAATCAATGTGTGCTTACTGTACTGAAAATTCAAGTTTGAAATATCTGTATCAACTTCTATTCAACAATTTACAATGCACACAAAAACAATGTGTTCATCCCCATGAAATTTAGAAAATTGTACATTCTCAAGAAACTCTTTGAAAATGCAGAGAATTCATACATTTCATTGGGAAAACATGTGTGTATATTACTTTCAAGCCAATCTTTCGCTCTTCTTCTTAAGGGAAGGAGAAAAAGAATCATTGTTCATTATCATTTATGTAATGAATAAACGTGAATATGTTACCATATTCAACAACAATACGCGGCAAGGGAAAGACTCACCTTTTTCTGAAGCTCTGAAATAGATTCATTCATGGCTTGGTTCTGCACGTTAACACACAGAATGACTATTAGCGTGTGTGGTTAAGCGGTGGTTTTAAAAAAAATCATTTTTTTTTCCAGGGTGAAGGAGAACTGGAGAAGTTACAAATTTTTGCTTTAAATTTGTCACATTTTGTTATGTGATTTTTTTTGCTCTGACCACGGTTTCGCAATATATCCAAACATACATTATGATTTATGACATTCAAGAAGCTCTCATTCTTTTTGCTCTCACCATGGTTTCACATTTATGTGGCTATATTTTAACTTGTAATCTTACTTTTGCCTCCTAATTGGTACATGATTCACATTGTGCAGTCACCTTCTCTACAAATTATGCGTGAAATAGGACCACAATTGGAGAAGTGAATTGGTGTGGGTGAGCACCAAAATATGGTCTATCATTCTTATGCAGTGATCTTTGTGCATACATGCAAAACAAGTGGAGTTGATTCATTTATATGCGGCAATGGCGTGTAAGTCATCCTTTTGGTCAAAATAGTGTTCATGTTGGTGAAGAAAGACAAGCAAATTAATTTGTCATGTCTACTTAAAAGCTAACCAAATAAGAGATGCATATATTTTGTAAGTAGCACAAAGCCATCAAGCTTTTGACTTAATACATTGTGAATTTGTAAAGTGGGTCCTTTTCATGTTTACTCTTCTTGTTTTCTATTTGACCATCGTGGATGATTTCACTCAGTGTATGAATATATTTTAACTGCAGCAAAGAGGGAAGTTAAGAAAACTCTTAATTCTATATATTTTTCTAAGGTGGTTCGATTTAATACAAATGTTAAAATAGAGACAAGTGACAATGGTGCTTAATTCAAAGTCTTGAAGAACTTTTTTTTTTCTTTTAAAAAATGAATGATCCACCAAACCTCCGTATTTGATTGACACTTCCCAATGGAATAGTTGTCAAAAAAGAAAAGGAAAATAAGCATATTTTATACGTTGCTTGAATTCTCCACTTCCAAGCTAATCTACTTATTTAAGTTGGGGGTGAATGTGTCCTTATTACAAGATGCTTGACAAATCCATCCACCATATGCAAAAGTAAGTCCCTATGAAATATTGTTTGGTTAGACTCCCATATTTATTCTCCTATCTTCATATTGGATACTTGTGTGTAGTGTCATGCTCGCAACTGATCTTGACAAAAAGACAAGTTGTGGGAGCAAAGTCGAAAAATGTTTTTGCAAGATATCTTTATGAGAGAATAGGACAGTTGTCTCTATGACCTGAATAGTGGGGAGTATTTTTCGAATCTTGTGATGTTGTATTTTGTGAAAATGATTTTCTTTTCAAATATGATCATTCTAATGCATAAGATCACTCTTTAAAAAAAAAAAAAAAAAAAAAAAAACTTTTGTAGAATGATGACTTTCCTTTCATTAATGAATTTAGCATCAGAATACATTATGTAACGGTTAAATCTCATATTAGTTAGATATAAAGTTAAAATAAAGTAAATAAATGAAGTACCTCTCACCTTACAAGTTAGATTTATAGAGTTAAATTAGGCTTAATCTTATATATTCTAAAATAGTATCAGAACTTGTCTTAAATCTATTAAAAGGAATATGTTGAACATGAAGGGTATATTCATTAGTGGAAAATTAGTATTTTACATCACCTCTTTAACGTTGGAAATACGAAAATCCGATGTAAAAAAGACACGGTAGTATTTTTGTAATTTTTGCAAACTTTTTTACGTCGGACTTGGTATGGTCTGACATAAAAAGTCAAATCTACGTCGGATGTATGTTGTGTCCGACGTAGATTTGACATTTTACGTCAGATCATATCAGGTCCAGCGTAAAAAAGTTCGCGAAATTTGAATAAGAGAGTGCGAGGCACATCGCGCGCATTCACTCTTCATCACTTTTCATTTTTTTCTCCGTAAACCCTCTCTCTCTCCTTTGTTACTGAATCATTTTTTTGTCTTTTGCAGAGGGGTGAACTCTTTGTTACTCATTCGCACACTGTTGCAGCTCATCAGGTATGAATCAAGGTTTCGTTAACACTTTTTTGCTTCGCATTGTTATTGTGGCTATCTGTTCTATTCGATTTTTTGGTTGTTCTATTTGTATAGGTCGTTGGCCTTTTCTTTTGCGTTGTTCTACGAAGCAGAACGGCCCGTTCTCCAAGCAGCACGGCCCATTCTCCTTGTAGAATGGGCCGTTTTGAATGGAGAACGGGTCGTTCTGCTTGCATTCTTATGTTTTTTTTTTTGTTTTTTTACTACTTTTTTACGTCGGATTTTTGGAATGTCCGACGTAAATTTACGTCGGTCTAACAAGACTGACGTAAATTTACGTCTCCCGCATCTACGTCAGTTTTTTTTCTGATGTAAAAAACTCAAAATATCCGACGTGAAATACTTTTTTTGTACTAGTGATTAAAAAAATATTAAAAAACTCAAGTTTCGTACAGATTAAAAATAAAACCAAAATAGAAATGGACATGATTCATCTCCATTCTTTCAAGATAATGCCAAAATAGAGCTAAACAAGATCCATTTCAATTCTTTAAGGTTGATTAAGATCCCTTGTGGTGTATTGCAAATTTGCTATGATATAGGAAACCAAAACAGTAGAAAGTATATTGGCACCTAGACGTTAGCAAGTCTACTATCTGGAAAGAAAGTAATTGGATACAAGTAGGTGTGCAAGATTAAATATGATAGACGGGGGAGTATTGAACATCATAAGGTAATGTTGATTGGTTGTTTGAGGAGATAATGAAAAGGAAATGATTGATTATAATTAGTTTAGAAAATGAAGTGGAGCTTAACTCAATCTTATAAAAATGGTTTGTAAGGTGAGAATTACTCCCCACTCATAAGTCAATATAAGATCTTTAATACACACTCCTCATGTTAAAGACTGAATATTTCAAGCATGAAATTTATAAGATTGAACATCTATATATAGTTCGATTGTAACTTGATAGTGAGTAACACGATAGGTTTAATAACAATCAATAATCATTAAGATATAGGTTTTGATACCAAGTTAAGAGAGTGGATTGAAGTTTAACTTAATCTTATAAAATCGACTTGTAAAATAGGTAAGAAGTTAATTTTGATGCCAAGTTAAGATATAAGTTCTGATACCAAGTTAAGAAAGCGTAATCTTAACGACATTATGAATTCTACTTGAGAGAGATGGTAATATAGGTATAAGAAACCATCTTTGCATTAAATTATAATCTTTATATCTTATAAAATTGTTGTTTAACCGATGCAATATCTATAATCTTATGCAATGCCAAAAGATATTATGAAGATATATCTCGTGTAATATCGACAATCAAGTAGATTTATAACCAAAAAATCTAAATTATAACCATCTTTGCGCTTAGTTATAATTTTGCTCTAACTTGTTAAGAAAGATTGACATCAAATACATCTTATTATTGTTGTTTAACTGATATAGTATAATACTTTCTTTATCGGTCTAACTCTAAATTAATGTGGGAAGTGTTATATTACATAGACTAAACAACAATTAATGTAGTATACTGAATTAAAACAACACAGCACCTTTTCTTCATCACACTCCCATTTCCCCCTAAGCCAATCCTCTCGATTTGAATTTGATTGTATTCTTATTTTTATTTTTTGGTTAGGGAGGAAGACTAGGCTAAAGGTAGGTTGGAAGAGACAAGGTTCACAGGAGAGAGAAAAGATGTGCAGAGTCAAAGAGGAGATTTACATCGGAGTCGTGATTTCAAATCTAAACAAGTATGCATGCGAGGAAGGGAGTGCAAATGATTTCCATTTTATATATATTTTTATATTAGTTAAAATTAACCAATATAGAATGTCATTTTTTTTTTACATTGACAAGATCTACATCAGTTGAACAACTAATATAAAATATTCATTTTAACCGATATTAAATCCTCTTTTTGCACCGGTGAATGAAACATATTTGAGACATTAAAATCTCGTTCATTATGAAATTTAAGCTAATTATATATATACAGACTTACAAATAACATTTTGACTATCTATTATCAAGCAAGTTAGACATTTGAAAACCTCATGCACCAACTTATAGGAGAATCTTGAACAGTCATATTATTATATATTTAGAAATCATGATAAATCAAGTCAGTCATATTAAGAGAATCTTATGTAATATCCAATTATATATTTGTAACTGTTTAGAAATGTTGTATATATACTTAGGAAAACATGATCAAGTCATATTAGAAGAGATTCATGCATGATTAGGAGGATATCTTGCAATAGTTTAAGATTTCGTCGCCCTTATAATTTGTATGTATTCAACACCTATATTATTGGAAAGTACAAGCATATATAAACTTATCGCAACTATATTTGTTTATTGGCATTCAAAAACACTCTAAGTTGCATAGTTTTACCTTTCTTGATCTAATATGTTTGAGAGCGGAATCAAGTTGTTGTTCCAAACTCTGAAGTCCTCTGAGATTTAAGCTTTCCAGCTCTTCTCCCATACAATTCCTGAAACAAAGTAGTAAACCTGCCATTGTATATTTTCTGACACAACAAACACAAATAGCCCTCATAAAATTTTAATACCTTTGATTTCGCTGTAGTACCTCCATCCTAGCCTTGAGCTTTTGGTGTTCTGTAGCCCAGTTTTCCTAACAATGCATTGCATGCAGAAAAATAAATCAGCATTCTAACGCTTCTAATCTATTTTAACAGTGGCAAGTAACAAACCATAGACTAGAAAAAAAAATTAAAGTTATTGGGAAAGTAACAATATCAAGTTGAGATTTATGTTAGCGACTTTATTTGTACTTGGGACAACTACACGTTTGAAAAACGTTCATAGATAGACTAGTGAAGAATGTCACGGGAATTATACCATGACAAGGAAACTAATTTGTAGAAAGTGGTGATGACTTAATTCAAGAGATTAATTTGTGGCAAATTAATGACACCTGTAATTTTGAAGAACCAAATTAAGAAATTTTCCACACAATAAATAACTAGAAAATTATGTTAAACTAAGTAGGGTCAAATGATCAAATGTGGAGGATTTAGAGAAAGCATAGGACCAATTTACATCAATTAATAAACCGACATAAAAAAAATAGTTAAAAGTTCATTCAGAAGAAATTGAAGACTTACATTTGGTGCTTGATCATTTGTACCAACCTGCCTCTCCGCATACGAATACCTCTCATACCGTTCAAGAATTCTTTCCGTACTGTTGAGTCAAGAAGTTAAAGTAGCAGTGAGCAAAGATTTTATATATATGCACACACATTGATTGAAAGATTAAATTTACATTGAAGGAAATGTCAGCGAATGTTGAATGACTTTAAACCTAGTTTTAATTAAATTTATTTAAAAAAAGTCCAGCCATAGCTTTGATTGTTTGCTATCTTTCCTTTGATGGCATCATCTGTCGAGCAATTTGAAATTATGTTTAAAGTTGTAGGACATGATAGAAAGTATGATATGGAAAAAAGAAATTTAAGGCGATGGTGCATGGAATGAAGAGGAAGAGTGGAATGCATTGAGTAGGTTAAAAGGAAAAAAGGAGAGAGGACGTACGAAGGTTGGGTAGAGTACTCGAAAAGCTTGGGTCTGGTGGAGAAGACAATGAGAGCGAGTTCAGCGTCGCAAAGCAGAGAGATCTCGCGTGCTTTCTTGAACAAACCAGACCTTCTCTTTGAGAACGTTACTTGCCTATTGATCTTGTTCTCGATTCTCTTCAATTCCACCCTTCCCCTCCCCATCTTCGGATCTTCCTTAATCCTCAACACCTCAACCACAACTCCTCCTTCTTTTCTTTTATTACTATATGTTTCGTCAAATGCGTTGTCGACTTACCATTCGCTAGTCGCACCACTCCCATCTCAGATTCTAACTCTCCTCATTTCAATTCATTTTTTGCTTTTTTATTATATAATCATTTTTACTTTATTATATCCTTATATTATATTATTCACTCTTTTTTATTAGTATGTGTTTTCATAATATCCTGTTGTTTTAGTATGTGTTTTCATAATATCCTTTTGTTTTTGAATTTGACTACAAGCACAAAAATGCTTAGATTTCATGTTGATCTACATACTTTTAAGTCATGAATTTGATTGTATCAATTTTATTATGATTGATGAAAGGATATAATTATCTTACAATAAAAAACTTTTATAAATTTAAACAATCAACGTAGACAAATTTGATGGCAAAATTATATATTCAAAAATAAAGAGCAAAAATTATATACTAAAAATTCAAAAAAGACTACTAATATAATTTAATTTACTTTAAATTAATAATTTAGGCACAAAAATGTTAATAATCAACAAGAATTTATAACAATTTTACAAACGTCTATGTCTACCTAAAAGACGTACTAGATGTGTCCAAATTAAATAGCCTACAGGCCATATAATTTTACGCAAATGATCTTAATTTCAGCGACAATCGAGGGGAGGTCCATTTAGTAAAAAGTAAAGGTCAGCCCAACTACGAGGAATGGAGAATTTCGCCATCTTCCACATTTTATGGGCTAATCCATCAGATTTTATATTGTTTTGTTACATTTTATCCTTTCAAGTTTCATCTCTTTAAAAATTCGTAAGCATAAATTTTTGCATGGATCGTAGATATACAATGGTACAACTGTACTAAGACCAGCTTAAAAAAATTACCTATATAATTTTATCTCTCTTAAAAAGAAGGGAAAAATAAATTAGTTTGTATTAGGGTTGATCCAATATATATTTAGACGTAACATAAATTTTAATTTGAGATGTTTTTGAACTAGATGTTATTATTCCCTAAAATTATTGTAACTTTTCAATTAAGCTTACCTTTAAAATTCTTCGGAATACAAAATCACTCATTAATTTATGGGATCTTGCTCTTTTAAAGGGAGCAATTCAGTTTAAAAGGTAAATTGAGCGATCTTAACGTTGATAGAAAATTTAATATTCAATATTATTTACACATGCATCACAAATCATAAGTGTGATCATAATCGTTTTTTTTATTAATTATAAAGATTTCTTTTTTCACTCTTATTTTGCTCAGAAAAAATTACATTGTATTATCATAGTATGTAATTAATGTTTATAGCAAACAATATTATGATGAATTTGATTTACTCTAATTATTAATTATAATATTTTTTAACTAATTAAAATATTATAATGACTATAATGAAAATTGAACTTAAATTATTACGTAATTATCTCAAGTAGGCTAAAGCTAGTGATTTTGATTAACTGTAATACTACTATTTAATAATGATAAGTATGTACTTTTATTAAGATTAATATATGATAGGAAAATAACTAACATGCAAGCTGAATAAGATGCTTACTAATTGAAAATAGAGAATCATAGTAAGATGAGACCTATAGATTTATTTTTTTTCATATATTTATCTTTTTTATTTTTTGTTTTTAGTTTTTATAATTTAAGGTAGATTTCTTTAGTCTTTATATTTATAATTTTTTTTAATTTCTTTTAGTTTTTCTTGTTAAAATAATTTTTTTTTAATTCATATATTTATCTTTTCAATCTTTTTAATTTTTATAATTTAAGATATATTTTTTTTAGTCTTTATACTTGTAACTTTTTAATCTTTTTAATCTTTATTATTATTTTTTTTATAACAGTATCTTTTTTTGTGTTTACATGATAAAAAATATTTGATTTTTCATAAAAATATGCATAAACAATTATAAAAATATTTATAACGAACTAAACATATTTCGATCATTCTCAGAAAATTAAGACTTTGAAAAGTTATAATTATCACGCATGGAATTTTTTTTTCATCTACTAAATTCAAACGTGCTCTAATAGTAATTCTTTTAATGGAGCTCTAATAGTAATTCTTTTAATGGAAGGACAGGATCGTAAATAAATTGAATATAGCTAAAAGGGTTATCCATACATATGAAAGTCTATATGAAGATTAGGCGATGCAATTCTTTGTCCTCCAAATTGACTACATAGGCATAGGTAATTGGGTATATATGCCTATCAACTTGTTCATCATTCGTTTGTCCTTATTTCTCTCTTCTCCAATCATCACATTAAGAATGCTGGCGGAGGTTCAGTGGCTACAGTTTATTTAAAAAAATTATATATATGTAAATTAAGACATAAATATTACATTAAAAAAATACAGAGGGTACAAAATTAACAATAAATGAGAAATTAGGATAATGGATTTAAAATATAAATCTAGAAAGGGACTAATTGATCATTGTAGGGTAGTTTTTAATACTAATTATGTAAATGGAGCTCTTTTGAAATTATTTGCTCCTTTAGTATAGTTTTTACTACAGTGTCGCTATGTGTCATAGCGACACTAGTGTCACGTGTAATTTTCTTTTGTAATTTTCTTTTTTTTGTAACGGAGAATGGTTTGAATTTAGTCACGTAAAAGTTGTTATCAGCTGTAGCAATTTTACTAGTGTCGCTATCGACTCCTTCACCATTTAAAATGACTCAATTTTATAAATAATAAATCTTTTTTCATAGGAAAAAAATATTTTAAAATATATTTATTTTAAAGCTTGATCTTTAAAATTTTTAAAAAAAAAAATTTAAAAAAAACAAGATTTTTTAAGAATAACCCAAAATAGTTCAGTGTACAAAAAAGTAAATTAATAGTATATTTGAAGAAAAATTTAAATAAAAAAATTAAGATAAAAAATGACATTTTTATAAAGAAAAAATTATTAAAAACTGGAAAAAAAAAACCTTTTTAAAAATTGATAAAATAAATGTGAAGAAAAGTGAAAAAAAAAAAAAAAGGTAGCTATGTCGCTATGGGCCCTAGCGACTCTGGTACTCCATAAAAAAATATATAATTTATTTAAAAACAGTAAAAAGAAATAATTAAAATACATCTAGAAAAGAAAAAAAAGGAAAAATATAAAAGATAAAACTAACTGAAGAAAAAAATATAAAGAAAATGCAAAAAAAAATATGAAAAAGTTGAGTCACAAAAGATAAATAAAATAAAAAAATAAAAAATGTACAAAATTCGTAAAACAGTAAACAAAATTATAAAAATACATGTGAAAAAGAAAAAAAATTAAAATTATAAAAGGAAAAAATAACTGAAAGGAAATAATATAAAAAAAATGCAAAAGCAAAAAACTGAATGTTAAAATAAATTTTTTTTAAAAAAATGATAAAATAAATATGGAGAAAAATACATCTAGAAAAGAAAAATATAAAAGATAAAATTAACTAAAGAAAAAAAAAGCCAAAAAAAAAGAAGTATAAAATAAAAATTTAAAATTTTCCACTTTTACTTTTTCCACTTTTATTTTATCAATTTTTTAAAATTTTTATTTTTTACTTTTTTTTTGCATTGTTTTTACATTTTTTCCTTCAGTTAATTTTATCTTTTATATTTTCCTTTTTTTTCTTTTTTAGATGTATTTTTCTCCACATTTATTTTATCATTTTTAAAAAAAATTATTTTAACACTCATTTTTTTTCTTTTGCATTTTTTTTATATTATTTCCCTTTAGTTATTTTTTCCTTTCATATTTTTCATTTTTTTTCTTTTCCACATGTATTTTTATAATTTTTGTTTACTGTTTTACAAATTTTGTATTTTTTTGTATTTTTTTTATCTTTTGTGACTCAATTTTTTTTTAGTTTTTAAAATTATAATTATACGCTATAAAAAATTAAATAAATTATGTATATTTTTTTAATTATTATATACTAAAATTTTAAATAAATTATTTTATCAAAAATAATTAATTAGTATTGTTATAGGCTATAGCGACTTCATTAATTTATTTTTTTAAAATTTCCAGCCGAGCATGAAACCGATTTGTGTCGTAAGGGGCTATAGCGACTTTACAACAGGCGTTACCGGCTGTAGCGACTTTTATAATATAGCTTTCATGGCTTCTAAAAAAAATTACACGTGGCACTAGTGTCACAATGGCCCCATAGCGACACTGTTGTAAACTATTCCAAAGACATAAATAGTTTTAGAACAATCTCATTTACGTAATTAGTTTTAAAAATTACCCTACAATATAATGATCAATCAGCCCTAGAAAGGAGAAAAACTCAAAACTTAAGACTACACATACATTATTCTAAAAGGTATGAATGCACTCCCTCAAATGTATATAGATCTGCCACTGTTAAGAAAATTGTTCCTATGATTATGGTCTAGTTAAGTTTAGAAAGAAAATTAAAAAAGCTTTTAATGTTCCCTTGGTTAGTGGTTCTTTATTTAGTTAGTTTTAATTTTTAAAGAGGGAGAGATATAATATATTTCCACCAAGTCGATTCTATAAGAAAACAATGATACATTTGGTCAATGATTAAATTTCAATCCTTAATTAAAGAGTATAAATATTGATTTTGATATAGACACATTTAAAACATAATTAGTTTAAATTTAAGGTTGAAAATTATTTTTAAGGACACATTTGATGCTATATATTTGTTGAATAAGTTTGATCTCGACATGTTAATAACTAAATTAAAAATAAAGATCGAGCCAGATCCTCTAGTTAAAAGAGGTTAAGAAAAAAAAATGAATTAATTTTTTTTTTTTACATATATAACATATGGAAAAATTTATATATAACTAATATTTTGATAAATAAAAATATATAATTATATCGAGTATAAAAATAATGTATGAAAGAATAGATTAACTGAATCAAAT